TCATGAAGCTAGTGTTTGCAAAGACCGCCCCACTGCAATTTTGGCAAAGACCTTCAAGGGAAAAGGGGTCCCAGGTTTGTTCAGGAAGTTGATTATTCTACATTATATAATATATTCACTGCTTCTTGTTGAGTAATAGCAATACTCAAAGCCACTTCTACAGGAACCACCAGGTTTTACCTTTTTCCTATTCTGGAAATCATGGAAGCACATTGGTCAGTATGCTTGACCTTGACTTGGGATGTATGAGTAGCCTTACCATGGCCATTGTTAGGATAATTACATACCAGTATATTGTTCTTACGAAGGACACTCTCATGGTATTCTGCTAATCAAGGAAGGGGGGGGGGAGTTAAAATGAAAAGTGACAGTCTGAATTGAATTGTTTGGACATGGAGGGGGGGGAAGGGGGAGAATATTCTTTTTGTACCCTCCTCTCTTTTGCCCTCTTCACCCATCATATCCTGATCTTTGGTGTAAAAATGCTGCAAGGCAATGGTCAACATTGGTCCATGGATGCCTTCATTTATGTATTTCTTCCCCCATTCCCATAAAAACTGGTTGGGTCATGACCTTTCTCCTACAGGGGGTGTTAATAACTTTTTCTTTAGGTGGCTGCCAATGATGTAGCAGGCTGTGCCCAAAAGGTGAAACCCAAACAGGAGGCAGTAAGGGTCTAATTGGCAGCAGTAAATCACTGGTAACTAGGTTTTGAGGAAACCCTTTCCCTGTGTAATCCTACTATTTTCTCTCTGATGCAGGAGTTGAGGATTTTGAGAATTACCATGGCAAAGCCCTTGGTGATAAGGGTAAAGCAGCAGTAGAGTTGATAAAAAAATCAATGAGCAACCATGGCCCACATGATCTTCGACCTCAGCCTGTTACTGATACTGTACCATCAATCAATCTTGAAGCAAAATTATCTAAGCCACCTAACTACAAGATAGGAGAAAAGGTACAAAGTTACTTACCTACTGTCAAATCATATTTTATCAGGGTCCCTGGTCTGGTTTCTTTTGTTGGTAAAAAATCCAGTGTATGTAGTATGATCTATTTGAAGCATGATGCTAGTGGACACTCTTATTAAACAGTTGCCACATGCTTAGAAATACATGTAGTCTGAGGAAAAGTTTCAAAGTTCAAGGAACTTTTATGCAGTCGGGGAAACTGAAATTTTATAAATTAAAAAGCCAGGGAACATTGGAACTTGTCCATTTTTTCTGTCATTATTGTTTTACTTTTATGCATGCTCAACTTTTGACCGGCATAGTACTTGTGCAGTGTGTCTACCCACCAAGGGGTAAAAATTGGTGTCGGTACTTGGTAAGCGGTACTTGATGAATAGGCCATTATACAGTTGTGTGCTTAGTTGCCAGGCCTTTGATTTGGAGTGAGACTGAATGTGAACTTGTTTTGAGGGACTAGTATCTAGTTGGCATGATAACAAAGTAACTTACATTTGAAAGGTTGGAAGTCTGTATCATAATAAGGTCATCCTCAGCCTCAATTCTGTTCAAAGGCTTTGCAACTAAGCACCCAGTTGTACAATGAATTATTGGAGGAAACTTGGGATGGACCATGTTTGTGCCATAAATCTTGGATTACATTTGGTCTTATAGTCCTCTTTGCTTGAGCATGGACTTGTTTTACACTCGAGTTAATTTTGACACGCCTTTTTGTTTCTGTTCCGTTAGGTTGCCGTTCGTCGAGCTTACGCTAATGCCCTGGTGAAAATTGGCCACACCTGTGACCGCGTGCTCGCCTTGGATGGAGACACTAAGAACTCCACGTACTCCCTGAACTACAGGAAAGAATTCTCTGATCGGCACGTGGAGTGTTTTGTGGCTGAGCAGAACATGATTGGCGTTGCCATGGGATTAGCTGCACGTGAACGTGCAATCACTTTCTCCAGCACTTTTGCCGCCTTTTTTACCCGCACATTTGACCATTTGCGCATGGCAGCTGTTTCCCAGACCCCTGCCAACTTCTGTGGATCTCACTGTGGTGTTTCTATTGGTGAGTTGGAGTGCGCTATTTCTTTCCGTTGTCCCTTCAACCCCAAAGAGAGACTAGCATCGATTTTCTTCTCATAGTATCTTCCCGAATTCACCCATTAAGGTCTTGAGAATAAAGTAAATGACCGGCAACCAAACAAACTCTTGAACATGACAAGGAAACGCATAAGCAGTTCATGCGATTTCCAATACATAGGGAATTTTTATATTACTGACGTTTCGAGCGTTTGCTCATTGCTGGAGTAGAAATAGAGTAACGTAAGAGTAAATCAATGAGAGGCTGCGCTCGGTGGCCTCATGGTTAAAGACTGAAGTTTCTAAAGAAACTGTGGTGCTGCGTCGGTGGGGGTAACAAGGTAATTTGGTTATATCAACTAGGTTGAAATTGTAAATTGGCCACCGTAACGAGTTAAAAAGCTGACATTTCGAGCGTTAGCCCTTCGTCCTTCGCTCTGACGAAGGGCTAACGCTCGAAACGTCAGATTTTTAACTCGTTACAGTGGCCAATTTACAATTTCAAGGTAGTTGATATAACCAAATGGCCTCATGGTTAGTTGATTAAAAATGTTGTTCTTTGACTCGACTGCTGATTCGCATTGATCTCGTTACACTGGTACTGGCTTTTCTCGAAACCCCCTGGGCTTATAAAAGTATTAAAACTTGTTAACTGAGCTTTTTCCTGGCTCATCTGAGCAGGTGTGGACGGTCCCTCCCAGATGGCCTTGGAGGATATTGGCATGTTCCGTTCTATACCCAACTGTGTGGTGTTCTACCCAAGTGATGCGGTCTCGTGTGAACGCGCTGTTGAGCTGGCAGCTAATTACAAGGATATGACTTTCATCCGAGCCACACGAGGCGACACACCTATAATTTACCAGAATGATGAACCATTCGAGATTGGCAAAGCTAAGGTAAAGTGGATCAATCTTGTCGTGTGACCCAGGAGAATTCCGTGTAACTTGCCGATGTGTGCCACTGGGTCCTTCAGAACCCTTACATTTGCAACTGCAGAATTCAGGCCCCTTCGTAGACGCCTTGCAAGAATTCATACTGTATTTAGAACCATCAAAATTAATTGAAAAGAGCCAAGTTTAAGTCATTTATACTTTCATTTATTTATTTACTGTCGTGATTTCCTAAACTGTCGTCAGCTCGAAGGTGATTACATAATTCCCATTTCTAGTGATTTCCGTTTTTATCTCAAAAGTTCTCTTGCCGTTTATTCTCCACCAGATCATGAGTAAGAACCAATCAGAATGCGAGTATAATTCAACGTATTATATATGTATATTTTGACGTAGATCGTCCGCGAGAGTGCTAATGACACGGTACTTGTTATTGGAGCTGGCGTGACCATGATCGAAGCAATGAAAGCAGCTGATGAACTTAAGAAAGAGAACATCCATGTACGAGTGATGGATCCGTTCACCTTAAAACCTGTCGACAAAGCAGCTATTATTAAACACGCAAAGGCTGTTGGGGGCAAAATATTGACAGTGGAGGACCACTACGTTGAAGGTAATTATGTAGGCAGTTGGAAACTGCTGCAGCAAATTCTGCAAAAATTGTCACCTTCTGAATATGTTTCCGTCCTATTTATTAGTGGTAGTTCGGGATTAGTCTGCATTCTTCATGAGCATTTTCATTTTCATGCAAACGTAATTAATTTTACCTAGGAAATGTTTGCGCTTGGCCTCACTTTGAGAGTGAGGCCGGAAATCGCTTGTTGGCGTTCACGCCAGGTCGTGGCTTTAATAGATACTCCAAAATCGGTTTTCCGAGTAAGGACTGGAACCTATAATTTCCGTTTTATTTCCGAACTAGTCTCGTTCAGGCTCGGTGCTTGTGACGTACTATGGGTCAGTTGCAGGAGTCAGGATTAAAGATGAGAACAAAGATCGTAAATGGTCGGGACCTTATTTACCAGAAAATAATTTATTCAGTTCCAGTCTTTACTTGGAAACCTGATTTTGGAGTATCCATTTAAGTCAAGACCCTTCACACCAGATTCACAGGAACCTGCTCATAAGCCTCGAGACGATGCACACGACCCAGTTTTCTTCGTCCGCGTCCGAACGGGCAAAACGAGACAGCTCTAAAACTGATTGGAAGACTAATTGTCCATTCTCGGACGGTTGTAAAAGTATCTTTTTTCCTTATTTCCATTTTTATTTTTGAGACGCTTGATTGTGTCCCTTACATCTCCAGATTAAAGCTTTGAGCACTGTTTGTCGTCTTTTCCTAGGTGGTATTGGTGAGACTGTGGCTGCTGCTGTGGCGGAAGAGACTGGTATTACTGTGCGCATGTTGGCCGTGCCCCGCATTCCTCGCAGTGGGCCTGGGGACGCCTTGTTGGATCTGTATGGCATCAGCGCCAAGAGCATCATCAAGTCTGTCAAAGGCTTGTAAATGGTTCGAAATCATTCGTGATCACGTTCACTTTGTGCTTCATATAAATTGCGCTGGCATTTATGGCCATCCATAGGAACCCACTTTTTTTTAAACGTTTTTCTCTCTGAACAACCTCTGAACAATTATCTACTAGCGAACGTTTCGATAGCTTTTTTTTATTATTATTATTAATTAATGTCTGGCTGACCAAGTTCATTCAGTTCCAGTACAAACCCATGAAATGGCGTAAATATAGGACCATTTTCAAACTGAGTTGTAATCCATTACGGTAGCAGAGAAAACATATCTATTCTTGTTGTAGCCTGGTTAGAAAATGAATAAATTCATTGATTAGTAATCCAGGTGTCGAGACTGGAAATATCATGCCAAAATTCTCACTCTAGGAGACCAAAGGCGCCTTGTTGCATTCATGTAAGCGCCTTGCATTCATGTAAGCGCCTTGTTGCATTCAGCACTGAAGATGATTAGTATCTTTGAGATGGAGTGTGATCTTCGAGATGTAGAGTTTTGAACTCGTTATCAAGTGCCGATAATCCATCCATACACAAAGGAGATCAGAGAGTAGCCTATAGATCACACAATACACCCAAAAAGCGTTTAATTCTCTTCAAACTTTTCGTATTTACATTCTACTCACCGGTAGTCTCAGATTTATTTACAACAGTACTTATAAAACACACGACTCTCAAACTCCTTGTTCTTTCCACGTTGTCATTTTTCTTCTATCTTTCTTGTTTTTTATTATTACTTCTTTTTCTTTCCACCTTTCTTCCCTCCTTTCTTTCCCTTCTTATCCCCTTCGTCGTCTCCTGCGGCAGCCTTCGCTCGCTTCTTTCCCAGCGGTGTTTTCGCGTACCAGGTCTAGGAGGAAACATTCCGAGTAAATAAACCGCATTTGATTGAATGTGTCAATTCTGAATACCACTCCCCGTAACAGGCACAATTCTTTAATTTTATTCCATCCATTTTGAAATCATTATGATCCTTGCAATCGGATTGGCCCTTATCCGTGCGATTTATTTGTGCTCTGAATTGCATCTTTTTCCCAGCCAATGAGAAAGCTGTACTAAAACACAACAACCAGTCAAATTTCAAGGCTTTTTCAAAGTAACCAATCAAATTGCTGGAGAATGAAAGACTACTTTTTTTCAAACCAGCTTAGTACTAGGTCAATAAATTATTCGTACAAACTGAAAATCCAGAATTTTACGATTTCAAAATGTGTGTAATAAAGTGCTAATTGAACTGTGTCGTGCAATTTTGGCCTGAAATCATACTTGCGATTTAAAATCACGCGTATGATTTCAGACCAAAATAGCACTCCACTCAATTCAATTAGCTTTATCGGGAGTCTTGTAGTTTTACCAATACGTATCACATTCCTTATAACAGCCTTTCCTGCGCCCATGTTTGTCAAGTAAGTGGAACTACCTTCCAAGTTACAATTTGAAACCCGGTTGGGACAAGTTAATCCTTTTGGACGAAATTAGTACTGTATCAAGGCACACATAAAATGACTGTAGTGTATGTTTTGACTGCATTGCGGATATACTCCCTTTTTTTATTTCGGTCCTTTTTCTTTTTCTATTCTTTCCTCCATTTTTTCCGTTCGGCATTTTTTTCGCGAAAAGATTTGGTGTTGCCCTTGATTCACTGGTGAAAAGATCCGTTTAGGCTAATCGATACTTAACAAATGGTAAACACCACAGCGTACACTATTGAGTTATGGATGCACGCGGGAGGTTGCTAAGCACGAAAGAAGCGTAAGAGTCGCTCGAGGCGATAGCCGAGAGCGACTCTAGCTTCTTGAGTGCTTAGCAAACCTCCCAAGTGCATCCATAACTCAATAGTGTACGCTGTGGTGTTTACCATTTGTTTTATAACATAACATTGATACATTGTAGCTAAAGAGTTCCCTTTTATTTAACAAATCTTACGCGACCAGAAAAAACAAGCGCGCGCGGAAAAATAGTCTTTGCATTTGCTCACGTCAGCAGCGTACACCCATGGGCAAATGGGGGACGCTAAATTGACCAATCAGAGCGCGCGCTTTACTTTGGTTATGTTATACAAAATGTTGGAAGGGGATATTCTTCAGTGCATTAGAATTTTCGGCAGACCTTACCTTGAAAGCTTCCTCTTCTTCTTTGTAGATCGGATCAATGCGAGCCAAAGGCGCCACAAACTCTACAGCTGACAACGGTCTCTTTGAAAGCTGAATAACGAAAATTAAAGTAGAACTTTAATGATACAGATCAGGCCCCGGTTGTTCGAGGATAAATCGCTATCCGTGGGATAAATTGCTATCCGTGGGATAAATCGTTATCCGTGGGATAGCACAGTGGGTTAACACTTATCCGCTAGATAGCACAGTTTATCCGTTGGAGGACGTTATCCGCCCTT